TGCAAATTCCACAAAAAACGAGGGGAGATACAAAAGTGTGAAATGTCAGAAAAAAAGAAAAAAAAAAAAAAAAAAAGAAAAACATTCTAAATGACAAAATTTAGCATTTGTGTGGTATAAATTCAAAATGATGATGAATTAAGAATTAAAGACTTATTCAATCTACTTTTGGTTGATACTTTTACACACAAAAGTAGCAAAAGGATATTAAAAAGGATTAGACAATTTTCAACATAGCTCTGAACAAACTTTTGCTCACATCTCAGTTACATTTGATAAATTTTAACACTTGCCCCCAAGAAGACAAACACAAATGAGACACTTCCCTTTTGCCATGGAAACCGCCGAAAATTTAATTCCCTGCTCTATGCCGGTGTTGGGGAATGAAAGATAAACACAAATCGTCCTGCCACAATAATCTCTTGACAGGCATTTCTATCATTCTGCCCTCCCTCCCTTCCCATTGCAGCTGTTCAACGTTGATTAAGTGACAACTATAAAAATGTATTAATTTAAATGACTCCTGAATGAGTGATTTAAAGGTGGAGGCGGGGGTTATACTCTTCATTTGCAAAGCATTTTTTGGCAAAAAATTTAATTTTATTTTGGATGTAAATTTTAGCAGCATCATCCATTTTAAAATAATCGGGGTGATAACATTTGGCGTTTTTTTCGACCGTTTTAATGTTTTCAAGCAAGTCGCAAATTAATGACGATAGCTCTCACACAAGAGGACATAAACTAAGAAAATTAATTAAAATCTGTCCTTAAGATGGTAAAATGTAAAAGAAGAAATAAAACAGAAGAAACAGATTTGAAAAATGGCTGCTTATGGCTGGAGAGTATAAAACTGCGAATGCATATAACGGAGGCCAATGTAATCTATGAACTATGGATAGTTTTTCCAAAACGGTCAAAAATATTTTAATCAGGGGATTTTACCCTCATTCCTTTTCTCTTGATATGAGATATGTAATAATTTTAGAACATTTTAAAATACTTTATCTAATACAGATAAAAATATTGGTATGGGGGAGTTACCAGATGGGATGGTACGATCTCTATCTTATTTATAACAGATCTTATGTTGATTGAAATATTGAGATGTGCCACGTCCGAATAAAATCGGATTTTAATTTCGCGTTTTATGAGCTTCATGGATATTCAAAATTTTGATCCTTTGTAGGGAAGGTACCAGAAGGAGTTGACCGATATATTCCATCTTCACAGCAGATCTTATGTCAGTAGAAATAATGCGATGTGTGCAATATGAAGATATCTGGATGCTTATTTCGGATTTTTTAGTCGTTTTTGTTATTCGAAATTTTTACACTTTGTGGGGGAGGTACCAAACGGAATGGTCCGATTTTATTATCTTTATGACTGATCATGTGCTGATAGAAATATTGAGATGTGCCAAGTCTGCATGGAATTGGATGTTAATTTTAAGTTGAATGAGTCAGTGTGAGGCAGCTATTAGAAAAAATTGGACCGATCTATCCCATCTTCACAACAGATCTTGTGTTAGTAGAAATAATGGGATGTGTGAAATATCAAGAGAACCGGATGCTTATTTCGGATTTAAAAATCGTTTTGGTTATTCAAAACTTTGACCCTTTGTGGGGGAGGAACCAGAAGGAATGGTCCGATCTCTACCATCATTATAACAGCCCTCGTATTGATAGAAAGATTGAGATGTGGCAAGTCTGAATGGAATCGGATGTTAATTTCGTGTTTTATGAGCTTCGTGAATATTTAAAAAATTTTACCCTTTGTGGGGGAGGTACCAGAAGGGCTGGAGCGATATATTCCATCTTACCACCAGATCTTGGGTTAATAAAAATATTGGGATGTATGAAATTTGAAGACAATCACATTTTATAAGAGTTATAATTATTCAAAATTTTGAAAGTTTAGGGGGGAGGTACTTGATGGAGTGGACCGATATTGTCCATTTTCCCACCTGATGCAAACATTAGGATTGACAAAGTTGACACAAAATCGGATTATCGTTTCTCTTTCTTTGCAGCAAATTATTTTCTTTCAAAATGTTGACATTACGAGGTACCAGAAGGAGTGGATCGATATTGCCCATCTCCGAACTCGATCTAAGCTTGACGATAATAATACGATGAACAGACGGACGGGACGGATTCCCCTAGATCGAACCCAAATGTCCGCAAACGTTAATTTCGAAGTGGCACCTTTTTTTCGGTATGATGTGGCATATCTACCCTCTTTAGCCATATGACTGCGGGTATAAAAAATAAAAGGCTTCAGTCTGTCCTCTAAAGATTTGTGCAGCCACAACTTGTCCGCTTGTTCATGTTAATCCTTTTTGGGAGACGTACCAGTAGATTGGACCTATATATCCCAATTTTACACCAGTTCTACTTTTAGTACGAATATTGCAATTCGGACCGATCAGAATCTATACGAGTTATTGGTAGTTTAGATTTTAGCCTTTTAGTGGGAAGGTACGAGAAATATTGGTCTAATATCTTCCATAATAATCCCTGACCTAAGTCTGATAAAATATTATCACTGGTCGTGATTGGACTACTAATATTTCATCAGACTTAGGTCAGGGGCTAGTATGGAAGATATCGGACCAGTACTTCTCATACCTTCCCAATAAAAGACTAAAATCTAAACTACCAATAATTCGTATAGATTCTGATCGGTCCGAATTGCAATATTCGTACTAAAAGTAGATAGTTTTTTACACATTTTTGGATTCTTGGAGCAGTGGTGTTTTGGAAAAAGTGATCGGCCCACTTTCCATTTTTATATATTTTCTAATATGGACAATATATAGGGAAATACTAAGTTTGAAGAAAAATCAAACACCGATTTCACATTTTACTAGAGTTAATATTATCCATAATATTGACCTTTTGTGTGTGAGGGAGGACAAATATTGCCTATTTTCGATCATTAGTTATGACTTATCGAAATATACAGTTTGAACTACCTCAAAAGCGAAACTTGAAAAACAAGTAAAACACATTAAGTTCGGCCGGGCTGAACTTTTAACACCCTCCACCTTAGGGTAAAGGAAACATTAGAACCCATTGTGACCTACAAATACCAATTTTTAGACATATTCGTGGGAAAATGTCGCAAAAATCATCAAAATATCGAATATCGGGAGGTACCGCTATATGGGGCTATACAAAAACGTGAACCTTTACATACAATGTTTCGGCAACGGAGCTGGAACCCACTAGGACACACAAATACCAATTTTTAGACAAATCTGCGAAGAAATGTGGCAAAAATCATCAAAATACCGAATACCCGGAGGTACCGTTATATGGTAGCTATATTAAAACGTGGACCCATACATACAATGTTTTGGCAACGGAGCTAGAACCCATTAAGACACACGAATACCAATTTTTAGACAAATCCGTGAAAAAATGTGACAAAAACGGTCAAAATACCGAATATCAGGAGGTGCCGTAATATGGGGACTATATGGGAAGGCGTGGACTTGCACGGACAATTTTCTGTCATAGGCTGTAGTATCCATTACGAACTTCAAATACCAATGGTGAAACATTTTCGGTGAATAATGTCACTTAAATCATCAAAATATCGAAAATAAGGAGCTACCATTATATGGGGACTTTACCTAAACGTGGACCTACATGGTCTATTTTCAATACCAAAAGTCTTGCAGACATAATATACATTTGAGTAAAATTGTATCAACCTACTTCATTTTGTTCGGAAGCTAGAGAGATTTCCACAGACGGACGGACATAGCTGAATCGACATAGAATTTTATGCTAATCAAGAATATATATACTTTGTGGGGTCTAAAATGTATATTTCGAGGTGTTACAATGACGGAATGACAAATATAATATATCCTCCATACAATTGTGGAGGGTATAAAAAAGAACCAAAAATGCACCTTTTTGGCGAAGTCCCTTTGTTCCTAAAATGTACAGTTTCTTTAAACTTTGAGCATTTCAAAATTTTTAGCCCTTTTAGATAAAATGTGAAAGAAAGATATATCGGCCAACTTCTTCCGGCAACTCACCGACACATATCTCATATAAAATAATCAGTCCAAATCTGACACGTCGTGCTATGTATATCAGTCTTAGGTCAGATGCGAAAGCGGACAATACTGGGCTTCTCTTTTGATGGCTCCCCCATAAAGGGTCAACACTTTGCATAAACATAACGATTCTCGGGATATTTTTTAATTAAAAGGATATTGGCTGTAGGTCAGATGCACTCTAGTTTATTTTTGGGGTAAGTGTTTTCTCTTTAGTAAGGTACATTTTTTCAATTTTAATTTTTCTTAGGAAAATGCCACTTACAAGACAGTGTCGATTAACCTCCGGTCCTTGAGCTGTGCTAAAAGTCTCAATTTTCAAAATCTCTGCTTAGGAGATATTGCATAGGATTCCTACTCATGAATTACTCATTATCTAGAAGCGGCTGGGATGTCCTTTTCATTTGCATATTTTATCTGGCCAGATTAAGTCAAGCATAGCTCCAACACTTCATTTCCCGCTTAGGCAATATAGCTGCCAGCAGAAGCTATTTAAATATTCCAAACATACAAGCAGTCTCAGTATCTCTTGGCATTAGCATTTTTTTTTATTTTTTGCTCGATATTCGTTTTTTTGAATATTTTGCCTTAGACCTGACCTTGAGGGGTTTTAATGTTACCGGCACATTTATTTTTGAGCGAGAACAAATATCCCAAAGAGACACAAAATAAACAGACGGCAGATGGGGAAAAATTAATTTAAATTGTTGCATATTAAAAATTCATAAAACCTAGGCACACACACACGCAGACACACTCGCACTCTCGGCGAAATGTGTGCTTTGAACCAAAAAAGGTTGGCTAATATGCATAATAAGCTGCTGCTGCTACCGCTACTGTTGCTGGCCCCCAAAAGGAAAATTATTCTAATTGGCATTTGGCACGAAATGCCAAGTACAACAAAAAAAACTCAACAAATCAGACTCACCTTTTTTGAGAATTAACACAAAACGCTTTTCCAAATGCCCAACCAGGTATTTTGGAAAGAAGAAAGTTTTTGCTGTTCTGTTGTGAATCACTCGCCACAGATATTTAGATTTTCAGCTGTGATTTATTTTTTAATTTTTCACATAACAATTGGAGCGTGAAATATTTATTATTTTTCACTATTTTTTGTATATTTATTTGAATATTTCTTTTTTTGCAAGGTATTATCACACAAACAATTTAAACACTTTTTTTGTTTGCAAAAAATAATCAAATGAAATTGAAAGTTAATTTTTTATGATTTTTGCCATTCAAAATTGTTGCTTTATTTTTGTTTGTATTTTTTATTAATTTTGTTGCTGTTCTTGGTGCAGAACCAGCAGCTCTCACTTGATTTATGGCCGGCCAACTTACCAAACTTTATTTTGGTAGGGCTAATTTTCTAATCACTTTTTTATGGCAGGACTTGACACAATTATTTTGTGTTGTTTTTTTTTTTTGTTTTTTGATAATAAAATAGATTTTTTTATTTTTTGGTTCTGGGGCCCAAACTCACACAGAGCCGGTTAGAACTGTTGTATCTTTTTTTGTATGTGTGTTTTTTTATTTGTTTTTCTCAAATACTGAGTTTGGATGGTTTGGATCACAACGAAGATATTCGCGCAAAACAACAAACACGTTTTATCAAATCGAATGTTAAATCGCAACTGATGAAATGGCTGAAATGGTCATAACGATGCCGACATTGGCTGGTGGCTGGATTTAACTAAACACTGTTACTAACAGAGTAGTTCTCTGAACTTAAACATTGCTCCGAGCAACAGCATATGTTGCCGCTAACAAAAGCTTAGATACATTGGGGGGCAACATGTTGACATGTAGATGAGGCATCATGTTGATACATAAAATGTTGATGGATACAGAATAGTTGCCATTGTGGGGATTATTGGGCACGGCAACAGAAATTGGGGGGAAGTTTGTTGACAGAATATTAGAAGAGAAGAAGCTCAGCCGAATGGCGAAACTGCTGGGATTACAAGCTGGACCGGTACATGTGGTGTCCGCTAAAATAGCAATTTTCGAATTAAGGAAAAAAGGAAAATTGTGCTAGGTTTGTGCTCAATTGTGCCGATTTTGTCCGAAATTCGAAAAAAAACATTTGAGATACTCATTTTTTTTTTTTAAAAATCTGCGAGAATTTCAATTTTTGAAAAAAGGAAGTTTGTGCTAAGTTGTACTCGGTTTGTACCGATAAATTTTTTTCTATATCTTTAGATTCTCTAAATTCGAAAAAAACGATATTTCGAAATTATGCCAACATTGCAATTTTCGATTTTCGAAAAATTAACAATTTTTGATTTTTAATTTTTGTAAAAATTCAAATATCGAGATGCGGTCAATTGTGCTGAGTTGAGCTCACTTAGCACAATTATTCGTCGATATATAATAAATTCCCAAAAGTCAAAGTTCATAGAGACGCGACCGCTTCAATTTATTCGTGAGATACCGGCCGAAATATTGGCAAAGAGTATGCCAAAATGGGACTAAGGGGATGGAGGACCATTTCAGGTGCAGTCACAGTCAACATTTGCATGACATAATCTTCAAACATTAAATTATATGGACCGTAGATTTCACACGTTTTTCCGAACCTTGTGTGTTATTACAGGGTGAAATAAAAAAACTGCAAAAAAGTCAAACGCCGTAATTTTTACATTTTCTTAACTTTTATTAAATGAAAGCAAATAATGTCGGAAATAGCATCAAATTTTAGAATAAGTTTAGATTTGTTCGAATTGGTCAGCTTTGGCACGAATTATGGCCTTAAAACGGCCAATGAAACCGTCACACGCTGCCCGAATGTTACTCTGCGGTATTTTGACCCATTCCCGGCGAAGCGCTTGTTTGAGGTGATCGACACTTTGGCGTTTTTTAGTGCCAACCTTGCTTTCCAAAATACTCCAGACACAATAGTTCAACGGATTGGTATCCGGAGATTTTGGTGGCCATTTTGCGCTGGAAATGATGCGAACAACCTCACTTTGTAACCATTCTTGGTTGGCGAGCGCTAAGAGCGATGGTGCTGAGTCCTGTTGGAATGTCCAATGTCTGCGGCCAAAATGTTTGTGTGCCCAAGGCTTTAATACACCCTTTAGAATATTTTCGCAATAATATTCGGCATCTATTCTGATGCCACGGTCGATTAATACGAGCGGAACAAGCGAACATCGACTGTTATAGCTTTCCACACCATTACCATGGCCGGCGCTTAAGTTTTGGTGGCCAACCAAAGGGGCACATTTTCAGCTGACCTCTTTGGCAGGTAAACACGATCATTTTGTTTGATTACAAACTGCTGGACAACGAATGTTTTCTCATCGGAGACGGAGAAAACCAAATTCGGCAGTTCAGCACTTTCGGCCAAGCGAAGCAACTCTTTAGCTCTTTTGAGTCTATTTTCATTCTGTTGCGGTGTAAGTTCTTGCGCTTTTTGGAATTTCAATGGCATTACCCCGAGCTCATTTTTCAATATTTGCCGAATAGAATATTGCGATATGTTCAGCTCATGAGCCATTTTTCGGCCACTGCGACACGGGTTTCGATCAAGTCGCTCCTTTACTTTTCCAACCATCACACTATCACGCTTGAATTCTATCACAAATAAATTTTTTTCTGGAAAATTCTCAAAAAAAATGCTTTTGCACGCTTGTAAACAATATAATGAGCTATCAGTGGAATAGTTTTAACAGCTGTCGGACGAGTGACTTAAAAATGACAGCAGTCTGAAGTTGGTTGCAATTTTTTCATCTCACCCAAATGTGCCCACATATGTTTTTGTCACGAAAAAAGAAAATTCAGTTATAAATAATGCAGGTAAACTAAATTTGCCATACCTGCCTGAAACGAGTATGATTGATGTTTCTATGAAGTATCTGATTACGTATACGTTGAAAGAAATCCGATTTGAATTTCCGTTGATGACTGACTACCACCACCACCAACGCAACAAATTGTTGACTCACACAGAGAAGACTGTTAAGAACAGAATGCTCTGAGTAACCAAATATTGTTGAGTAGATTAATAAGTTGCTGTTGACAAAAGCTTGACAACATAAAGAGAGAACAACATGTTTATATTAATGATGCAGCAACATGTTATGTGTCTCTAGATACACCCAATTAAATGAAAGGTTTCCAAACCTTAAACTATACTTTCATTCTTATTCTGCATTCGTTTCAGAGGGAAAATCAGCCAAATCGGGTGTAAATAAATACCCGATAATAGATTTTTATAAATACATTATTATAATAATACAGGGTATCGGGGTTATATAAGGGGTTATACGAAAACATTGACTTGCACAGTAAATTTTCTGTTGGAGAAGGCAAAGCCTATTACGAATTCTAAATCCTAATTTTAACATGATTTCGTTGAAAAAAATGTGTCAAAAGTCAAAATCAGAGAGTGCCATTTTATGTGGACCTATATAAAAAGTTCTTTACAAGAATGTTCCCAATATACTGGGAATACAAATTTGCAAATTTACAGCAAATTTGGTTGAAATCCATGATTAAACACATAAAATCCATTATATGGGGGTCATGCCAAAACTTGCAGGCATATGGATTATTTTCTATACCAAAAATTCTTCTGAACTAAACTACATGTGAGCAGAGTTTAATCTACCTTCTTTATTTTGGCCTGAAGCAGGAGTTATTTAAACAGACGGATAAGGCTAAATGTGTATTTTTATAAATAATTTATTACATTTTATTTATTGGCAATTCTTTTTATTTCCTATTTTTTTCATTACAGACAACTTTTGTGCATGTTTTTGTAAAGATCTTTGGCAACCCTGGCAACACACCACAACGGCTTCGAGCATGAAGGATGTGTTTTGTTTATTTTTTTAAACAGATATTAAAATTGTTAGACATAATTTATGATATTGTGTGGAAATATGATTTTAAAGCTTTTTCCTAAAATAGAGGAGTGTTTGAATGGAATTTATCGCTTTCAATTAAATATTTATAAATTTATTTATGGATTCCTTGATGGTTTGAGGTGGAGATAAAAATTAAAAACAATATCTCTTATTAATTTAAAACAAGCTAAAAAGTATCAGTCGCTTTTGCCGACAGATGTGTACCCTCAGCCGATTTTCGATGTTGACTTCTATGATTATACTTGGCTTTTATGATTATTCAAATTTTTGACCCTCAATGGAGTACATTCCGAAGGAATGGGCCAATATTCTCTATTTCGTATCGGACCTAAAAATTACCATATAACCATTGCGAAGTGCCAGGTTTGGTTACTTTCTTCACTTAATATAGGGTGAGATGAAAAAACTGCAACGAACATAAGACTGCTGTTATTTCTAAGCCACTTGTCCGACAGCTGTGAAAATTATTCCAGTGACAGCTCATTATATTGTTTACAAGCATACAAAAGCATTTTGGTGAGAATTTTCCACAAAAAAATATTCGCGATGGATGTACAAGCGTGATAGTGTGATTTCTTTATATTTGGTTGGAAAACCTCAAGTGGCTATCGTTAGAGCACTCCAGCATTTAAATGTGAATACGTCTTTTGTGTCTGGTACCATCGCTCGTTACCGAGCGTTACTGGTAGCTTAGCCCGACGTCAAGGAAGTGGACGGAAGAAAACAGCACCATTAGCAGAAATGGTTCGAAAAGTAAAGAAGCGACTTGATTGAAACCCGCGTCGGAGTGGGCAAAAAATGGCTCGTGAGCTAAACATATCTCACTTTTCCATTCGGCAAATATTGCTATTCGACAAAATGAGCTCGGGGAAAAGCCATTGAAATTCCAATAAGTGCAAAAACTTACACCGCAACAGAAAGAAAATGGACTCAAAAGAGCTAAAGAGTTGCTTCGCTTGGCCGAAAGTGGTGAACTGCCGAATTTGGTTTTCTCCGTCTCCGTTGAGAAAAAGTTCGTTGTCCAGCAGTTTGTAAACAAACAAAATGATCGAGTTTATTTGCCAAAAAGATCAGCTGAAAATGTGCACCTTCGGTTGGCCACCAGAACTCAAGCGCCGGCCATGGTGATGGTGTGGTCCGCCATTACAGGCGATGGTCGCTCTCTGCTCGTATTAATCGACTGTGGCACCAGAATAAATGACGAATATTATCGCGAAAATATTCTGGAGGGTGTATTAAAGCCTTGGACACCCAAACATTTTGGCCACAGACCTTGGACATTCCAACAGGACTCAGCACGCGCCACCCAAGAATGGTTACAAAATGAGGTTCCTCGCTTCATTTCCAGCGCACAATAGCCACTAAAATCTGCGGATACCAATCCGTTGGACTATTGTGTCTGGAGTATTATGGAAATCAAGGTTGGCACTAAAAAATGCCAAAGTGTCGATTACCTCAAGCAAGCGCTTCTCCGGGAATACGCCAAAATACCGCAGAGCAAGAAGGCCATAAGTCGTGCCAAAGGCGACCAATTCAAACAAATCTAAACTTATTCTAAAATGTGATGCTATTTCCGGCCGTTTTTGCTTCCATTCAATAAAATAAAAAAATGTAAAAATTATGGCGTTTGACTTTTTTGCGGTTTTTTTATCTGTATTGAGAAGTGCCAAGTCTGATCGGAATCGGATGTTGATTTCGCGTTATATGAGTTTCATGGATACTCAAAACGTTGACCCTTTGGGGGAGAAGTACCAGAAGGAGTGGACCGATATTGCCCATTA